GAAAGACCTTTACAATGAAAACTAAAAAACACTCCTCAAAGAAATCAAAAATGACACAATCAAATGGAAAAATATTCCATGCTCATGGACTGAGAGAATCAACATTGTTAAGATGTCCATCCTACCCAAGGCAGTCTACAGATTTAAAGCAATACCCATTAAAATTAGCAGCAGCATTCTTCTCAGACCTGGAAACGACTATACAGGAATCCATTTGGAAACATAAATGATCACAAATAGTCAAAACAATCCTCAGCAAAATAAACAAACAAACAAACCTCAGCAAAACAAACAAAGTGGGAGGTATGACACTCCCATACTTTAGGCTTTATTATAAAGCTACAATAATCAAAACAGTCTGGTATTGGTACAAAAACAGCATATAGATCAATGGAACAGGATAGAGATTCCAGAAGCAAAAATCTCAATTTCTCAACCAATTCACCTTCAAAAAAGCCTCCACCACCAATCACTGGGGAGAGGAGAACCTATTCAGTCAATATTGCTGGAAAAACTGCCTGACAACATACAGGATATTAAAACGAGACCCCTACTTATCACCATACTCAAAAAGCAATGCTAAATGAATAAAAGACCTAAACATAAAGCCTCAAACTATAAGAACTTAGAATATGCAGGAGTTGCCCTTATGGAAATTGGAACTGGCAACCAATTTCTGATCAAAACCCCAAGTGTCCATGCCATAAGATATAAGATTAAAAAATGGGACCTCATCAAACTTACAAGCTCTACAAAGTCAAAGAAACCATCAAGGCTGGGCACAGTGACTCAAGCCTGTAATCCCAGCACTTCGGGAGGCCAAGGTGAGAGGATTGCCTGAGTCCACAAATTCAAGACAAGCCTGGGCAACATGGCGAGAAGTCGTCTCTACAATTAAAAAATCAAAAAATTAACTGGGTGTGATAGTGCATGCCTGTAGTTCCAGCTACTTGGAAGGCTGAGGCAGAAAGATCGCTGGAGCCCAGCAGGTCAACGCTGGAGTGGCTGTGGGAGTGCCATTGTGCTCCAGCCTGGGCAACAGAGTGGGACACCAACTCAAAGAAAGAAAGAAAGAAAGAAAGAAAGAAAGAAAGAAAGAAAGAAAGAAAGAAAGAAAGAAAGAAAGAAAGAAAGAAAGAAAGAAAGAAAGAAAGAAAGAAAGAAAGAAAGAAAGAAAGAAAGAAAGAAAGAAAGAAAGAAAAAAAAAGAAAGAAAGAAAGAAAGAAAGAAAGAAAGAAAGAAAGAAAGAAAGAAAGAAAGAAAGAAAGAAAGAAAAGAAACCATCAAGAAAGAGGGAAACAGCCCACAGAATGGGAAAAAAATATTTGCCAACTGTATGTCTGACAAAGGCCTAACAGCTAGGATCTACAAGGAACTCAAACATGCCAAAAAGAAAAAAACCAAGCAGTCCCATTACAAAGTGGGAAAAAGATATGAATAGACACTTCTCAAAAGAAGACATACGAGCAGCCAACACATACATGAAAAAATGCTCAGTCTCACTAGTCAAAGAAATGCAAATTAAAACCACACTGAGATACCACCTAACTCCAGGTTGGCTGTGGTAGTGTGCACCTGCAGTTCCAACCATTTGGAAGACTGAAGCGGAAAGATAACTGGAGCCCAGCAGGTCAATGCCAGGGTGGCTGTGAGCATGCCACTGCACTCCAGCCTGGGTGACAAAGTGAGACTCCAACACACACAAAAAAGTAAGTAAATAAATAATAAATTTATAGCAATTTGTTAACAGCAATTAAAAAAAAAACTAATGGTAGTTCAAAGCCTCAATTATGTAGGTAGTACCTTTCAAAAGCCTCAAAGAAGTGTCACTAGGTCATGAGGTTCAAAGAAAATTTGCTTTTAAAATAATTTCTTTTAAGGTAGAGAGGTAGGAAGAGAGGGAGAGAGAAAGTTCTGACACTAAATAATAACATTTTTATTTCAGAAAGGCATGAAATTTTGATTTTATTGCCCATAGTTCTGTAAGGAAATGGATAAACAGTAACAATACTTTTATGACCTGAAGGGCACAATATTGTTATGTGCTACTATATTTAGTCTATATACATTCATAAATACTAACACTTTGTGATTAATACACAAACTGTATCCAAGTTTGTCTTCTTCAGCTTAAACTGGGATTCTAAATACTGTTTGTGGCATATGCCTGAGGTATAAAAGTATCACAAAATAGAAAGGAATGAAAAAAAGCTCATTGCAAAAAATACAAGTATATTATCAATCTGTTTGACATAATGTTGTTCCTTCAGCCACATCATAAAACAATTCTCAATATGCTTGATTCAAATTTGGTTTATCAAATACGATTCTAGAAAAATGCATTTTCACAAGTTGTCAATTAATGTAATTCACCAATATTACATATTGACAACATTGAGGTCACACACACACACACAAACTTTTCCATTCCTTTCCCAGTAAATTATATCAAAGTGAGTCCCTATGCACAAGAAGTTTCTTCTAAAGCCCCACAGATATCACACTTAGTATGAAAAGCTATGCTGTGGGAAATTTACCCACATTTCCACTAAACAAAAATTAGTTTGCTACTGCTTGTGAACACATGAAACATGATATACCCTTCCTTCCTGTACCTTGGTTAACCAGTTATTTCTTTTTCCCAGAACATATCAAACTCTTGACTCTAATTCTTCTTATCATAAATTCAAGTGATACTTGCTGTGTCCCTTTCCTGTCCCCTCATTTGATGTCTACTGTTACACAGTAGTATTGCGCTTCTGTATTTAAGCCACAAGAAAAGCAAATGATCTATGATCTGCTTTCCCATATGACCTGTTGTAGTTCTCAAAGCATTTCTTTACATTGTAGAAAAAAAATTTTTTTAAGTCATCTTTCCCCCTCAAAAAAAGATGTAATATTTCTTTCCCCAGACTTTGTGCCACAGAAAATAGGAAATGTTGCATTCACATAAGCAGATATTTAACATAACACTTCTAGACTATGATGAAAAATAAGCAATACCAGTTAAACCATCACTGGATTGAAAACTCTTGATGAAAATAAATGCATTGCTAACCATATAGGTATGAATGTGCCTATATGTGAAAACTTGGATATAGAAGCCAGGAGAAAGAATTATCCTAAATGTTTGTTTGTTTGTTGCCTATTTACCTGACAATAAACTTATCTATGTAGTCTCTACAATTGTAAATTTTAAGTGTTCCTGTTGGGTGGAATAAAAAGAACTGTGGTGATCACTTCAGAGAACCAGCTAAAGAATAAAAGATACCAGAGAGGCTAGAATAGGTTAAAGCCAGAAAGAATTGGCTTTCAGTTTCCATGCTGCCACTGACTAGCCCTGTAATCATGGGAACACTGAATTCCTGCCTTCTTACCTGTATGCTTAATACTTATTGTAGGATTATTGTGGGGATCACACATAAAGTGCCAATGACCTACTAAGCATACAGTTCATGGCAGACAGGATTGCTATTGTTTCTGTGGAAGGTGCTACACATTTTCTTTCACTTTAATGACGCCTAAACAGAGTCTGTTGGATGTTTCTGAGCTCAAAGAAGTAATAAACAGTATATCCAACTAGAAAACTTTCTATATTTTATTATTCATTTCTTATCCTACAAGCTTTGTTACTCTACCTTTTTTTCTCAAAATGACTCACTCCTCAGCTTAATCAGAAGTTTACTTAAGTGTAGCAGTTCTACTCAAAGTCAAGTGTTCCTATTTTTCCCAAACACACACACATACATATACACACACACAGACAGCCTGAATCAGCAAATACTATTTATTACATAGTCCAGATTGTCTATTCTAGAATATAGGTAATGGACACCTTTGTCACCAGAGCAGAGAAATCACTTACTTTAATGGATATTGACTAAAATATAGAGTGATTGAAAAGCGGTGGCCGGGAGCAGCCACTGCACTCCAGTCTCGGCGACAGAGTGAGACTCCAACTCAAAAAAAAAAAATTTATTTCACTACTTTGCAAACAAGATTATATCCTATAAAAAACTAAGTACCAAACTCCAGAGGCTTGACTCAGGACTATGAATACCAAACTCCCTATTATAGAAAACCTCTGAAGTTCTTAGAAACTGAAACATTAAGAGAAAAAAAGGAGAAAAAAAAAAAGAAAAGGAAAAAAAAGCTAGAAGTAATGTGATACTAACATAACCAATAGGCAAAAGACTGCTGAGGTGGTAACTATTTGGAATACACAATATAAAGTTAGAGGTAATGCGAAAAAAATCTACAGGAGCAAAATTCCTTTCCTGATCCTCACTTTTTGGATTTTAAACATTTAAGAAAAAAAAAAAATTACAAAGCTGTAGGATCCCAAGAGTCCTAGACTTCTCATCAACGTTGACAGAAAAAAAAAAGATGAATTGGGCATGAAGAGTGAGTTTCTCCTTTTTGTTCAGAGTGTCTATTAAAAAGACCCTGTTATAATCTTTGTCAGCATCCATCTCAGACCACACCTTTGTAGGGTTCTTATGCTGCTTAACTCTTCACATCAAATCTTATGCTTCTTGCTTTATTGTCACTATGAATGTAAGAAAAAGCTGATGTTCATTTTGTTTAAAGCCCATCACAGATTTGAATAGAAATATTCAAAATTGTCTATTGTGTAACCTACCAATTATCCTATGTAAGACAGTCCAGATTATTACATTCTGTCATGAATTTATTGACACGACTCCAAAAAACGTTCTCAACTTTTTACATAGACAACCTAGAAAATAAATATTACTGTTGTCTTCACAGGCAGCATTAGAATGAGCAGGCACTTGCAATAGTTATTTTATCTAACTTATTACTTAATGTTCCTAATGTCTGCCTAGAACATGAGCAACTGTTGAAATAATGATTTAAGAAACAAAAACACTGGTTTTAAAATTTTTAAATAAAGGTCACTATTGGTGTGAAAAGAGATGTCAGTTTGTCAATCCATCCGTACTTTCCCGCTAAACTGGGTGGAGTTGACCTAGACGGCCAGAGATATTTGTGAAATAAGCCCATTTGAACCCGTCAAAAGCGACTCTCTTCCTCTTCCACAGCACGGTGAAGGCCAGGGATGAATTTCAAGAGTTGCTTCCGTACACTTCCTTTTCTGCTCTTCCGGGGCAGGGTCCCAAACATGCTTGAGAAGTTGCCTTCCCACAAGGGAGACATGGATCCACTGCTGGTGGTACTCACGCTCCGGTTCTTCCTTGAAGACCTCAGAAAATCGTCCCCATCCCTGGGAACGAAACACTCATCATCCGTGCTCGTCTGCCGACTGACAGCGCCCCTGCTGGAGTCCTCAGACACACACGTCTGGTAGCCGTCTTCGCTGTCCAGGGTCATGGAGCTCAGCCAGCTCTTACAGCTGCTCTCACTGGATAATCGATTCCGGTCCTGTGCAGGGGCTGGGCCGGGCCCAGGCAGCATTCCAAACAAAGACCATTCATCCAAGTCCACGTTTTCCAAACTTGGACAGTTAGCTGCGTCACCTGGAGTACAGAGAACAAAGTCTACTGTTGAATGGCTATGTGCATCACTCCCTACAGATAAATGCAGTAAACCAAAATTTCTCTTTGAAGAACACAAGAAAGAAGAAGGGTGAAAAATATTTTTCACTGAGCTTTGACTTGCACGAATAAGTGACTGTTTGTGAGGCCATTGGAGACGCCTATGGTAGAGTTTCCCAAACTATTGCTCATATACCAGATTCCAAGAAAAAAATGTCCCATGGTGTCACAACAACTATAATGTTAACATGGATTTAGACAAGATGCTTCCTATGAGAATAGTCCAACCCAACTGACAGTATGTCAATGTGACACCTGAATCTCCAAAATGATGATTTATTAAATTTAAGTGACCTTGTAAGCTTTTATTAAAATTCTCACGGAAATGAGGTTCCAAAGATTACACCTGGGGAAATGCTGTCTTGTGGATTTTCTCCATTTTGTTCCTCTGATACTTATGTGCTGTCTTTTTTAAATAATTGTAAAATTTTTATAAAAATTGTAAAATTTTTATAAAAATCATTTAAAGGATGCGGAAAGCACAGAATCCAAAGGTGTTTATTGCAGAAGTGATTTATGAAATCAAATATCTATTCTAGCCTCAATATTTTAAGCTTCATCTTGTAATCCTTAAATGCTCTGGAATGATATTGTACCCGGAAAGCATCCTTATCCTCTAATAAGTAATAATTTATTTGAAGAAATTGATTTTTTTCTGCTTGACTGAACTTTGTCATCAACCTTTCATAACCTATATCTCTCCAAATTCAAATGTTAATCACACACCAACGTCCCATCTACATCCCTCCTCTTCTGCACTATTTGAGTTTGTTGGTATGTTGCTTAAAAGGGGGGTGGGGTGAGAATACTTCTAAAACTGGCCTGAGAAAAACATAATTAGAGAGTGACTCTGAGTGTTCTAGGAACCTATTGGCATCAGTGTACCAACTAGAAAAAAAAAATGTGACTCTGCTTCAGAAAAAGTAATCGAATACTGCACACTCAGGAATGGTTTTATTTTGGGCATATTATCCTTACTGTTACTCTCCTTTGTCTTTGGTTGATAATATAAAAAGAGATTATTTGTTTTTCCATTCAATCTGCAAGGATGAGTTTGGTCAGCTCCATAGTGACTAGTCATAGTGCTTTCCTTTTTACGAATACAACCTACTCTATTTCATTTTGCAATGAGCTAATGTATTTATTCTGATTGGAAAGCAATTGCCTTTAGACTCTCCTACCCTGGATGTCTATTCTAGGTCTAGAAAAAGCAGAACCACCTCAATCTCTCAAAAAATGTATACAACAATGAATTTATAGGATTCTGATCTAACGATCTTGTCTATACAAGGTTTTCCTATAGAACTCCAGGGCATCCTACATTCACTGGGCCATTCAGAGTGTTCCAGAAGTAAAGTTGAAGGCTAAAGACCCTCATCTCTACAGAAAGCAAGGAGGTGACTGAATTAACAAGGCCACAAAGAAGTTTTGCATTTCTGTCTAACAAGCTGTAAGCCTCTCAAAAAATCTATTCTGATTTTTTTTTAATTAACTGAAAACATTAGAGAAACAACTCGTACGTAAGTTACAAATACTTCTTTTATCAAAAAAAAGAACTCTATGCCAGAAATTAGTGTCTAATTAAGAATTAAATTGTGTCTTTTTCTATAACAAATAGATGATCACTTTTAACAGATATTGTAGGTTAAAAATAGAGACTTAATTTTGGTGTTATCTAAAGAAAGGATCATCTCTAATTCACACCCACATACCAGTGGTTTCAGTGAATTATTTGTATATAAAAGTTCATTCTGTAGTTACACCTGTCACACAGCAAGTGGCAAATTAACAAATTTTAAACTCAGTCTTTCTGTTAACAATGAACAGACTGGCAAAAGCTATGCATTTTCTATTATAATAATCTCACACATTTCTGTTTGTGTCCTGGGGGCCATGAAAAAGGATTTCTTTACATAAATGTAACTTTTTTTATACGTAATGACCACGTTTTATTCATCCCAGAAATTCAAGGTTGCTTTTATTTTTTTTTTTTTAATATTTTATTTTAAAGAGGTGGGGTACAATTCAGGGTTAAGTATACAAATGTTCATTCTGCAGGTACCCCTGTTGTTGAGGTGTGCCCCTCTCCCCCGGCAGTATCCCACTACTGCCAATTCCACACTCCCCTCCCTGGCAATTTCCCACTACTGACAACCCTTTTATTATAGTATTACGATAATTGTTCAAGGTTCACTTATGAGTGAGAACATGTGATACTCAGTTCTTTGTTTCTATGACAGATCACTCAGTATTATGGGCTCTAAATTTACAGTTTCTGAGAGCTACTCAGCCCCTGACCCAGGACTGTTTTCAGGAATTTAATCCATTTGCTGAAGTAGTAGGAAAGTCAGGCAATCTTTCCTGCTGATCTAAAATTTCAGTGCCTCTTTCAAGCATGTGCATGTAAGTGTGTGCATGCTTTCATGTAGGGGGTCTGACTTGACTTCTCCTCCAAACACATTCCAAAATTCTCATCAAAGAAACATAGAATAGTACCCTTGGTCAGTGCTAGACACATTTTTCTTATAATGATGATACTCTTAAAACAACTTAGAGGCAGAAATATTGAAAGAATGAAATGTTAGTGTGGTTTCTGAACAGGAAATTACATTTACCATGAAGCAGGCGCTGTTCCTGTAACTGCAAAGATCTGAGCTCCACCCATTTTTTCTTCAAGGTTTGCTGTGAGATAGAAGAAAAAAGTGCTAATTATCAGGAAACCCCAGTGAAGCTAGCAATTTAATTCTAGGTGTTGAGATTTGTCATTATCATTTTTCCTTTCTTTTTAGCACTACAACCCATCCCATTCATTTAAAATATTCTTTGCAGTATAAAATGAAGATATTGGGAATGCTACTTTCTCAAGAGATAATCCTAGTATCAACAAATTTTCCTTTCAAAAGCTAAGGGAGCAATTAAATACATATTTTTTATTTAAAAAAATATTACAGAACCAGATCATTTGGGCTGGTAAAAACATACTTGCTGTTTAAGGCAAGGATTTACACTCAAGGGTTCCCCCATCTGTGGGATGAAGACAATAATAGAGACTAATCCCTGGAAATGTTATGAGGATTAAATGAGTTAATATACATAAAATGTTTAAAACAGTGACTACAACTTGATAAATGCTCTATAAATATCATCATTAACCTATAAGCCTGGGGCTCTAACACAGACTTTTCTCCTGGACTTATATTTATTTTTCACACCAAAAAAGGAGTATAGACTTGGTCTGAAATGCTTCCTTAGAGTTATAACCTTAGAACGCTGTTAAGTTTGGGGGTTTTTTTGCTTTTGACTTTTTCCCCCATTTTTTGTTTTATTTTCGGGGGAACACATGCATGTTCATTACATGGATATATTATGTAGTGGTGGGAATTGGGTCTCAGGTGGCCTATTCTCCAAATAGTGAACATTGTACTCCATAAGTAATTTCGGAACCCTACCCCCTTCCTCATCTCTCAGCTTACTGGTGTTCCCAGTGTCTGCTATTTCTTAACTGCTGCAGCACATGAGAGCAGTGGCCTGCGGTGTGAATGAAGCAGCTGCTGCTTGGGTCAAGATGGCACGCAAGGCCTAGCCTAGCCCACAGAAGGAACTGAGCCCATGGAAATCAAAAGCAAACCAAGCAGAAGGCATCTGACAAGACACAGTCACGGACTCACTCCCTCCTATTTCTTGTCCTCTATTTCACCCCTTTTTTGGCCATTTTAGGTTCCTATAGCAAGACCAGCAAGCAGGCACAGCTCAGGTTTGCCTGTGGACACGTATCCTAAAGGAAAGGCAGCCTAGTTGGAAACAAGCTTGTTTCAAAGCAATCTAGAAGGAGTAGATGGAGGCTGAAAAGCAAGAGGGAAAATGCATATTTGGGGAAGGCCTAAGGAATGAAAAGGCCTAAAAGAAAGACAATAATAAAATTACAAGAACCTCATCAAATGCTTAAAGGGAAAATGGTTTGTTCCTCAATCTTCAAGGACTGAACAGTAACTGGGCAGGATTTTCCAGGCCTTAATAATAGTAACATTTAACAGCAATCCTTAAGGGTATTAATATAATACACAAGCAATAAATCAAAGCAACAAAATGCTTGTCTCAGTTAATTTCTTGTTCTTTCTGTACTCTAATATAGTCTTGAATGGTTTTATGACTATGTTGCTGCCTTATTCATAGCTCATTTCCTGTGTTAACCTCTGGTTATGTGAAGGTTAAGATTAGGGATAAAGGAGGTATAGGACTATCAAGGACCTGGTATATGTATCAACCCCCCTTGTCTTTCTTAAAGAGATTTATCTCCTACAAGAGAACAGAGTCCAGTAGAGGAGCATAAGGATCGGTTGACAGTCAAAACTAAACATAGGAAGAAGAGGATGCCATATTTCTGCACCTACTATCTAAAAATATGAAGTCAGTATTTACCAAATAGTTAATTTTTGTAACAAACAAATGTTTCAAAATATCTAATTTGTTGATTTGGCCCAGTCACTTCAGTATGGCGTCACTTAAACCAAGAAAATACCAGTATAACGAGCAGATGTGTCAGCCAGCCTGACCTTGATTATAGGTCAGATCCAAACTTCCCTATTTTTCTATGTGTGTATTTTTGCTTATGTTACTGACATCCCAATCATATATTTGGACAAATCTAAACTCATCTTTAGATGAGAGTTAAAGCATATGTGAGATCCAACCATACTGAGCCATATCACCTCACTGTGCCTAGCTCAGTGCCTAGTACATAGCAACTCCTCAGTAAATAGTGGTTAAATGAATACGTAAAATAACAGCTTCCTGAAACAACCCTCGGCTATCACACATTGGTTCCAAGTACAATGCTTTCAATCTACATGTGAAATTCAGCTAAACATGTCCATGGCACTTCACTAATTTCATTACGCTTTCACAGATAATATGCTATTTAATTTTCATAACTTCTCTAAAAAGTTACAGATTAGAAAATAAAGGCGCAATGTAGCAAAATGTTTCCCAAGGGCTACAAATCCAGCAAATACCAGAGCCAGATTAAAAACTCGCTCTCCCAGCTAGCCCATTAAATGTTATTTTCATGGTAAACATTTGAATCATAGTACAGGAGAAAGGGAATTCCTGAAAATGTGGCTCAGAAAGGACCACTGTTTCCAAAGAAGAGCTTCTGGCTCCATGAAGTGTCGTCAAGAAACAGATTGCTAACTTACACAGTATGCACAAAGTAAATGTCATTGCAAGGAGGGGAAGTCAGCCTGACCTTGATTATAGGTCAGATCCAGACATTTCTGACTCAAGTGATAAGCTGGAAATATACCATAATTTCAATATTAGTGATGGGACAGAAATGCAGGACGGTAAGCAGAAATGAACTCAAAGTTCCACTGGATCTGGAGAAGAAGAAAGAAGTAGTTACGTATTTGGATCCTGTGGCAATATATGGTTTAAACGCACCTCTCTGAAGCAAGAGACAACCAAGGTTTTTCTGAGAAAAGAAACTTGTCTGAATTTCCACCACTGAGAAAAGGAGACTGAGAAAAGTTGCTGCTGCTGCTGCTGCTGGCTACAGTTCAGGTAGAGTGTATACCTGGAGAGACATGAGTACCTAAGCACAACCTTATGACCCAAGCCAAGCAGCACACTGACTCTTCAGGGACGGTATCTTAGCCTCCAGACCTGGGTCCAGATGGATAGCCTTGAAGTGCAGAGTGGAAGCAACTGTCCAATTATCACATCAAGTGGAAGGGAGAGGCTATATGTCACACAAGGGAAGCAAGGAATCTAAACTCCAATGCACATACAAATGTTTAATGATAAGAAAGACAATACAACTGATAAGCAGTGCATGGATTTTCTCTAAGCAAAATGAAAATAGAAAAGTGTCCAAAGAAGAGTTTAATATAAGATACTTATAATCTTCTGGGAGATAAATGAAATCAATATTTATACGAACAATAAATTTAAAACAAGAACAGATCGACAAGAAAAAACTACTAGACAATAAAAAATAAACTGATTTTTAAACTCAGTAGAAAGAACACACTATGTAGTACACAGATAACAAGCACATTACTGAAGATATCACTAAAGAATTTAAAAAGGATATAATACAACAAGATACAAAATATTAAAGAGTGGTTAGGAAGCATAAAAGATGAATCAAGAAACTCTAAAATATGCACAGCAGGAGTTCCAGCGACAATACAGGAAGTGGTGAAGAAAAAGGCCCATTCAAAGAGATCAAGCTGACAGTTTTCCCCAACTGAAGAAAGTCACAAGTCTTTAGACAGAAAGAACCCTACAAATTTTAAGCAGTATAAATTCAGAAATAAATTCAGAACTAATTACATTGTGGTAAACTATAGATCAATAAAGATAAAAGAAAATCTTAAAAGCAACCAGAAAAAAAATACAGATCACCACAAATCTAAATACTGGGTTTTTAAGACTCAAAAATAGAAAATCCTTTAGAGAAAATTATCAGTAGAAAAAGAGAATTAGCCAGGCATGATGGCACATGCCTATAGTCCTGCTACTTGGGAGGCTGAGGCAGAAGGATTGCCTGAGCCCAGGAGGTTAAGGCTAGAGTGAGCAATGATCATGCCACTGCACTCCAACCTGGGCAACCAAGTAAGACCCTGACAACTCCCCATAAAAAAGCAAAAGCATAAAAAGTAGTACAAAAATGAGGACATAATCACACTTATGACAAAGATTTAAAATATTAGAATACATTTTTATCATCAACTTCAATACATTTGAAAATTTCATTAACACAATCATAACTCTCTAAATCAGGTTCAAGAAAACAACAACCCAGAAAGCCAAAGTATTATTACAACTAATCAAGAAATTAAAACAGAAGTTTAAAAGTATTCCCACCAAAAAGGAACCTCAAGCCCAGATGATTCAGATGATATTACAAGAATTCCACCAGAGAAGAAAAAGAGGAAGATAGTCTCCAGCTCATAATAAGAGTCTAGTAAACTTGATACCAAAACTTTAAAAGATAATCTAAGAAAAGAAAATTACAGGTCACTACCTGTAAATGAAGCTATCTTTAAAAACCCTAAACAAAATATTAGCATATCAAATCAAACTTATAAGTATAGAAAATGATTATGATTTAAAGGATAAACTAGGTTGGGTTTATCATAGAAATGAAAGGGTGGCTTTGCATAAGAAAATCTTTAAATATCACTCACCATATTGACAGATTTATAAAAACAAATAAATGAGAAAACCATCTTGGCAGATTCAGAAAAAAGTATTTGATAAAACTTAATACATAAGGACTATAAAAACTACCAGCAAATTTGGCATAGAAGGGAGACTAATTGATCTGAAAGATAGCCCATTTTTAATGTAAAAGAGATGAGGAAGAATTACCTTTAAATCAAGAATGAAATGGGGTGCTTAAAATTATAGTTGCTATTCATCATTGTATCATAGGTTTTAACCAATGTAGTAGAGTAAGAAAAAGAACCGAAAGCCATTCTTAACATACAGTTATTATTTCTATAGAAAACCCAATAATCTACAAATAGTTTATTAGAAATTATGTAGTCTACCAAGGTATTTGAATATGGTTACCACACAGAAAAAATTGATTTCACATATCTATTAACATCAATCAAAATATGTATTTTTATAAAGAATCTATAATAAGAACAAAAAAATAAGGTACAAAGGACTAAATCTAACAAAGATAGGTAAGACCTATATGCATAAAATTATAAGACTTTCTTGAAATACCAAAAAAACAAAAATGGTAAGATTTTCTATCAATCAAAAACCTCAATACCATATGGATGCCAAACCTCCTCAAATTGATCGATATTATGTATATGATGTGATAGCAATCAAAATTTTAACACTCATTATAAAACTTGATCATCTGATTTTATTTTATTTATTTATTTATTTATTTATTTTTTGAGTTGGAGTCTCACTTCGTCACCCAGATTGGAGGGCAGTGGCATGTTCCCGGCCACTGCAGCCTTGACCTGCTGGGCTCCAGCAAGGCTTCCACCGCAGCCTTCCAAGTAGCTGGAACTACAGGCGCGCGCTGCCATGCCTGGCTAATTTTTTATTTACTGTAGAGATGAGGTCTCACCAAGTTGCCTGGGCAAGTCTCGAACCTGTGGACTCAGACAATCCACTCACTTCGGCCTCCCAAAGCGCTGGCTGGGATTACGGGCTGAGCCACCAAGCTCGGCCCATCTGATTTTAAATTTTATGTAGCTGATCAAAGGACAAAGAAAGACCAAGAATAACCTTACCCAACTAGATATCATCAATATTTATTATGAAATGAGTTTGGGATAAACAAATTGACCAATGGATCATAATAGGAAGCTTGTAAGCAAATTCATGCTTATGTAGAATTCACTTAAAAACAGAGGTTTCACAGCAGGTCAGCTAAAGAAAAAAAAGGATTATAAAGTAAATAGTACTGAGAAGCCTGGGAATTCAGATGGGAAAAAATAAAATTGAAATTTCCCCCATACTTCATGATATATACAAAAATTAATTCTGAATGAATTAAGGACTTAACTGTGAAAAGGAAAACCTGTAAAGCATTTAGCAGAAAATATGGAAAAATTAACAAATTAACAAAAATAAACAATTAGGAGCTGTCTCATAAATAAAAATATTTAAAGAGTAATATAAAGTGCTAAGGAAACAAAATATCGACTTAAAATAATTAAGTTACTTAGAAAATTTTTCTTTTGGTAGCAACAGTGAACTAAAGACATTTTTGAAAAAGATCTACTAGCCCTCACTGAAGGAAGTACAACAGCAAGAAGGAACTAAACCCAGAGGTAAGGAGAAGAATGCAAGAAACAGCAAGCATATCAACTGAACAAGTTGGTATTTTTTTTCACTAGCTATTTAGAACAAAAATTACATTTTATAATTTTTAAAAATTGATGAAATTCTCTAAAGTAAGCAATAATAAGGTATATGGGATCTTAAATGGTATTCATGATATTATGGAGGAAGATAGAGATATTGAAAATGTGTACATTGTTAGAAAAAGTATTAGTCAATTATATAAATTAAAACTTAAGGAGATAACATTCAAATAATATAAATTGTTTAGCACCATGCAATAATGATTTGTTCAAGTGAGTACTTTATTCCATTAAGTCTATTTTTTCACACTTGCTTTAAATAACATCACTAGGTTATTTTCAATATTTCTTTTTTTTTTTTACAAAAGGCTGAAAAAGTTAATTTAACTTTTTAAAACATATGTTCATTAAGGCTATTTACTTTTTGCAAAAACAAATTAACTTTGACAGGTTTAAAAACCTAAATATAATATGAAATACTGTTTACTCCTTCTATACATGTAATGACAAAAGTCTTAGAAATGTTCCTTTTAAAGTCAAGAATACGAGTATCACTATTTACAATACATTGACAATTCTAGCCAATGCTATAAGAGAAGAAAAATAAATTAGCTGAATAATTGAGCTAAAAGGTCAACTTTTATTATCTGCAGATGACATGATATCGATAGAAAATCTAAGGGAATTTACAAAATTATTAGGAGTTCAGCAGTATGATGTTAAAATTTACACAAAAATCAATAGCAATAAAATAAAGCAGTTGAAATATAAAAGATTATATCTTTTATAGCAATAAAAATTAGGAAGCACGTAAGAATATCTATAAATAAGATATTAAAATGTAGCCACAAAATTATAAAATATTTTTGAAGGACATGAAACATTCTCATAAAAAGATTAAAATCCTTCATTCAAAGTGAGAAATTGAAAGTCATAAAGATTTCATTTGCTTTTATTTCTTTTACAAATACAATTCAATTTCTATCAAAATTTGAGTAGACACTTTTTAAACTTTTTATAAACTGATTCAAAAAATTACAAGGATCAGCAATGTGGCAAGAATATCAAAACCAGTGTTAACAAAGAAGAAAGCAGGGTTTGCTGATGAATTGGATGGGGGAGTAGAGGATTATAAGTTTAAAAATATATAAAAGCAAGATATGAGATAAAAATCCACCCACTTGGCCTCAATAATTAATAAATGCATACTTCATGAATAAGACTAAATTGTAGCTATTTCTAAATAAAGTCCAGGTAAGCAACTTGCCTAGTGTATGCAACCTACTCAGACTGGCTACATCATTGCCATGCAGTGGGGAGCAGATGAAGAAGTCACACGGGACAAGGGGAGGGGTCTGGGGGACTATGATTCAGAAGCACAAAAGTAAGAATATGGACTTATTGCTTAGGAGACCCTCGCCAGCCCTGAGATTTTTAAGAGCTTCAGACAGTCATCCCAGGCAATGTTCACTGAGCATCCTGCATTGTGTACTCCCTCCTAGAAACTAATGAATTGCCCCTTTAAAGTAGATAGTGTGTTTGCCAATAAAAAGCAGATTGAAAGACAGCCACAGGATTAGAGGAATAAGGTCTTTGCTTTAAAAACGAGGCAGAAGAGAAGGACACTGAAAAAGCAAAAGTCCCAGCCCCTCCAGCACATTCATGCAATACTTGGAAAAATGATGACCTTTTTGTTTTTTTCAGACAGAATGTAAATCAAATATCGCAGGTGCACTAATGAAGAGTTCTTCAAGTGTTGTGCCTTCCTGTTGCCATTTTGAGCCTCATAGACACACAGAAGGAGGAAGGAAAAAAGTGATTTACACCGGTTTGTGGAATTTGATATTCCTCCAAAGGTAATTGTATAGCTCTTGATAATTCAGTAGTTTAGATTCATTATGACATTTCATTTTCAAGGGTGATCTCAATTCCTCAAATAGATCTTTATTCCACCACTCACACATTCAAGGATAAAAAATGTGCTTCACTACATTCAATTAAATTACCTTTAAAACCTGCAGCTTTGCTTCAAGTTCTGTTCTTTTAAGAAACATTGTTCCGTTAAGAGTCTCTATCCTGTTATAAGAAAAAAAAAAAAAGTTCAGAGAGGGACTAATATAAGTGATTCATTTAAACAAGTGCCCATACTTATGGAGTACTACATTTTTAGTACAGAATATACTGAAAACGTAATAGCACTTTGAGTATCTAGACCTAGACCAAATTTTCTGATAATATTCAGAGAAAGAAAATGGGGGGAACAAACTCCCCTTGGGAAGGTGAATAAAAGAAAGATCCTGGTTAATTTGTAAACTGTAGCTATTTTATACAAGTCATTATATGACAATGATGGTTGCTTTCTACTAGCATCTATTCTTGTGGAATCAAGTTGAATCACCTCACTCATTTGTTAAATACTTATTGAGCATCTACTGTGTGCCAGATTCTAGACATCATACTTAACACAAGGGGTACAACAACAAATACAAGAAGCACTAGGGACTTTTACAACAGTGCATCAACATGCTATTTTTTGAAACAAGGAGAAATCCTTTCCTCTCTAGGATTCTGGGAGCATTTGCCTCTGTAAATTGCCTTATAATTTTGGAACTAGAATAAATGAACCACAACTATTATAAAATAATAACTTTCATATGACTCTTTCATCTCAAAACCTTTGGTTTACAAACTTTAATCCTAGAATTATCAACTTAACAGTGTTCTTTTCTCCTTACACCAAATGCCTTTCTAAAAATAAGACATGTTCCATCCTAAGTGATTTGATTTGTTTTGCATGATGCTCGAGTTAAACACCTTTATTTTGACTACTAAACCATCAATCTGAATATGATTTTTTAAATTTCATTTGTGAATCACATACTAATTTAAAAATTGTTGGTTCAAATTCCCCTTATAACTAAGCTATAGCTCTATTTATAAAGATGCAAGAAATTTTACAAGGCATGATAAAAACATTAAATGTGTAGACCAATTTTCCTCTACTTCTAAAATCATCAAGCCGGACATAATGAGGTGATAGCAAGCCAAAAAACTGTCTGCTTTCTCATTAAGGCAGAAGTCTTGGCTTTCTGGGCAACAGTGGAGATCCCTATGGTTCTGTTTTCTTGGGATTCTTAATGTAGATTTGACCTACTCAAGCAATAGATGTATATGGGCAAAACTGTGACATTGGGTGACTATTCTCTTCAATATGTACACAGAATGTCTCCCATTTTCCTGATCTCTGAAATTTCAACAATTATCTCCACAGACTATCCCTATTCACCTGTGATCTGTCAACTTCACCCATGTGGAACATACTTTCTGTCTCTAACCACCACTAACTCCTCTTGGACTATATATGGCTCCTCCCTTATGGATCCAGGTTTATCTGGATCAAGTGTGCCCCCACCCTTTACCTTAAACTCACAGTACCCATAGAGATGGACTCAACCATCTTTTAAAACTGCTCACAAACACAGACACACACACACACACACACACACACACACACACACACACACACACACACACACACACATATAAATGTCCTTTGAAATTTTAGACCAGAATCACTGAGAGCATCTGACAGATTTTCTATGGGCTTACAATGAGCAGCTGTAGCTGAAGGGAACAGATCCTGGCATCCAGAGCAGGTAACCAAACCCCAGCCCTATCGCTTACTAGTTGGATGACCTTAGCTAAACCTTCACTAACCTTCAGGCACTTCATCTATAAATATAAATAAAATTAATCCCACAGGTGGCTATGAAGAATGAATGGGATAATTAATAGAGGACTCATCTCTATCAGAATAACCTGTTAGCTGGTTGGCATAACTGATAAGACCCATAGTCTGCCATAGGCTAATTCTCTGGCTTCACTTCTTCTTATACTCTCCCTTTCAACCAACTACCAGTTACACTGGCTTTCTCTCTGTCCCTTGGATGGGCTTGAAAATTCAGAGACCTCTCTTTATGCAAAATGCTCTTACCAAGAATTCATATGTCCATCATTTCTCATCATTTTGGTCTCCACTCAAGATTTACCTCTTCAGATAGAATCATTTTAAACATCTAAGCTAAACTAGCAGCCTCTTTATCCAGTGTTCTATCCCACTGTCCTATTTCACTTTCCACATAGCAGTTATCCATGAATAAAATATAAAAGTTACTTATTTTTCAGGATTTTCTGAGCCATCTCCTTCCACAATTATTAAAGCACTAAAATTATCTTTGTCTCTCCTGAGCCTGTCATAGAGCTGAAAGTAGAGTATTTGCTGAATAAATATGATTTTAATGAATGAGTAAATTTCATAATTTACTTATGAAGGTCTTATTAAGTGCTGGAAATATTATAGTAGAAAAGTCAGTCAAATCTCTAACTGAGAAGATCAGAGTTCTTTTAAGAAGTTTTGAATATCTGGCATATGTGGTATGAATATGCGTGTTTCCGGGCAGGGAAGGTTTAGCAGACTTCAGTTTTTCTTCCATATAGAACACAAGAAGAAAAAAAATGGCTGTGGCAAAAAAGGAAACACTCATACCTTCTAACTTTGTATTTGTGTTAGTCACAAGATTATATCAACCATGGAAATTGGATCACTTCCTCTCAGTTTAAAATGAATGTGTGCCAATTTAATTGAATTTGATATTAAACAAATACATCTTTAAAAGTTATTCCTCCCACACAGACATTTGGGCTATTGATGTCCTCTGACTTCAGATGTTGACAATATGTTCAAGTCTGAGGAACCTTGAAAAACAAAAGGTACTGATAACATTTACACCCAATCCCAAAGCTGTGGCATACCGCCTCCCCGCTTCTTGTGATTCCTGAACAAAAAACCTATTCATTCACTCTACAGGCATTGTGAAAAACTGTAACATTTTGAAGCCCCATGGAAATTAGACAGATAGTTACGTTAGCAGGTTTCCTGACGATCTGATCAGGTCAACCACTTGTTTGTGGGTAAAGCCTTCTGTGCTCACGCCATTGATATTTGCAAGGACATCACCTGGGAGATGCCAAGAAAAGTGAATGTTGCATTGGTTAGTTAAATAATTCCTCCTGACATGCAAATGAAAAAAACAAACAAGGTTTAAACCTTAGAAACATAAAGGAATTAAGAAAATGTAAAGCAACAATCACATCCTGACCTTCACTATTCAAAAGTTTTCTTTTCTTGATATTTAAATGCTTCCTAACATGAGCAAAGTTACAATTTACCTGCTTGTAGGCCAGCACAGTGAGCTGGACTGTCCTCTTGTATTTTGCATATCAAAGTGCACATTTCGGGGGAGCAGGTGTTCTGATTCTGGAACTTGTAAGTCTGTAAAAATTAAGGTGATACATAGTTACTACTCAAAAACTCAACATCTATTTTTCAAAAAGTAAAATTACATCAATTACCATCAAACGTTATAATAGATAACTTCAAAGGACAATCGGGAAAGGTTTTCCTGAATATATACCAAATCAAAGGTATCAATTTTGCAATTTCACCAGACAATCTACAGCCAACTTCATTCACAAAAAACATCTGTCGTGAGAAAGTAAAATGAAAGTGGCTCAAGATTTTTATGTTTTCAAGCCCAAGATATCATCTAATGCTATATCTTCATTACATATTTATTTTTAAAAATCAAGTTTCTTATTTCTCAAAGGGATAAAACAATGGTGGCCAAGAGCAAAGATAAAAATCCCTACGTGGTTCTCCCAACCTAAAACACTCATTACAGGAGAGTATGAAACAGTACACATGCAAGGGAGACATGCCAACAATGATTATTTTAAATCAGAGTTCTGCACATAATGACAATCTGCCCTGAATTTATTCAAAAGTGCTATAATTGGCTCAATTACCTTCATTTCTAAGCACTCTCTGGTACGCCTGCCCTGAATTCTCACCGGTTCATTAGTCACCCAACTAAATTAGAAAAAGTTAAACTTCAACTCTTGCTTCAATTTGGCACAAGTAGTTTGGTGGTGAATTGGTTTTTTTTTTTTTTCTTTTTCTTTTTGTATCAAAACATTGAATAAATGTTTTCTGGATGTATTGTTCCCATGACCTATAACAAATATAATTTTCTTTTTCATACATTTAAGTTATGAAGTCTAGTTCCAATTAGAATCAAAATCAGTGTTCTGAGTAAATCTTATAAACATCTGATTCCTAAAATTAAGCCACATTACAATACTGTTTCCTTGTGAAGAAATTAATGTCTGATGTTCATTCCTTATTTTATAATCCCTGGAGCATCATAAGTCAGTCAAGTGTAAGCAACTTCGGGAAACTTTTATCTGTTAACCTCTACAAGACTTTTATCCAATCTATAAGGCACTTAGAATTCCCATATCTTAAAGGTAGAAGGGACTTTAAGAGAGCATGTAATACATTCTCATTTATATCAGAAATCTCCTTAATAGCTTTCCTGCCAGAGTTCTTCTCACTACAGCCTGAACCCTTCCAGAGATGGAAAGCTGGTTCAGTTCGTGTGATACATGAACAAAAGATAGTAACTGACACTCCTTTGGGAAACCACTGTTCTAACAATACTTATTAGCAGAAAGACTCTACCCTCCATCCTCAGTGGTTAAAGTGAGTACAGTAGGGGAGTCACATTGATTTATGTAGATGGCACCTGCATATGTGTTTGCAATGGGTATGAAATGTGAAAGTTAGAGAGAACAACAGAACCCCCAAAGTAAAGGAAAACACGATTAATTAGATACCTGCATGTCTTAGAGACACAAAGATTCTAACACCTGTCATTTATTGATCTTCTATTGGTACCAGGCATATTACTAGGTATGTTACATATGTTGTTTCATTTTAAACTCCTAAGGACTCTACAGAGGAGAAATTTAGAGAATATAAACTCAGGTGTGCTTAAGTCTGAAGTCTCTGTTTTTGGCTGAGTAAAGTAGCTCGTGTCTATAATCCCAGCAGTTTTGGAGGCCAAGGTGGGAGGATTGCTTGAGCCCAGGAGTTTGAGGCCAACGTAGGCAACATAGGGAGACCTTATCTCTACAAAATAAAAAAAGTCCAAAAATTAGCCAGACATGGTAGCATGTGCCTATAGTTCCAGCTACTCAGGAGGCAGAAGTAAAAGGGTTGTCTGAGCCCACAAGGTAGAGGCTATGGTGAGCCATGATTGTGCCACTGCACTCCAGTCTGGGTGACAGAGTGAGACCCTGACTGAAGTGAAAAAAAAAAAGAAAGAGAAAGAGAGAGGGAGGGAGGGAGGAAGAGAGAGAAAGAAAAACTGTTTCTAGCATGCTACATGATTTATAAGGGGCATGCAGCTAGCACTCATGGAGAAGAGAGGGAAGAGTCTATCTGGTCTCTTCCAAAGTTTCACTCATCTGGGAGGTCAGATCCCCATTATGTACTCACATTGGGTACACAATATGGATACCTGAGGTTCCATCTGGTGTTGAAAAAGTTACCAAGCCAGGCTCGGTGGCTCAGCCTGTAATCCCTCGCCTTTGGGAGGCTGAGGTGAGTGGATTGCCTGAACCTGCGGGTTCGAGACCCGCCTGGGCAGTGAGACCTCATCTCTACAATAAATCAAAAAATCAGCCGGGCGTCGTAGCGCATGCCTGTAATTCCGGCTACTTGGAAAGCTGAGGCGGAAGGATTCCCGGCGCCCAGCAGGTCGAGGCTGCGGTGGCCGGGAGCAGCCACTGCACTCCAGTCTGGGCGACAGAGTGAGACTCCAACTCAAAAAAAAAAAGAAAAAGAAAAAGTTACCGGAGGCATTTCCCCCATTTGTTGACCCCTCAAATCTTATGAGTACTGGGGAGTAAGTTATGATGTGGAGGTGGTACTGGGACACACATACCATGGGAAGTTAATAGGGGTAGGGGTTCCTGCATCACTGAGATAACACACACACGCTTCCACTTAGGAGTGTAGCCATTAATTCATGTTCATCTACAAAGGTTCAATGGTGCTGTGGTCTGTATTCGATTTTGACTCTTGCCCTATGTAGAATATGTGTTTATGGTATGGGAGAGAAATATATGAAAACATTGACACATCATGGCAGAGTGATAAAAATAAAGTTAGGTGAGTAGTACTTTATGCTCTTTATGTAGCAACTGCTGCACATTCTTGAGGACAAATCTCCTTTAAAAAAAAAAAACAGTTGACTGGGCTCAGTGACTCAGCCTGTAATCCCAGCACTTTGGGAGGCCGAGGCTAGTGGATTGCCTAAGCCCGTGGGTTCGAGAACAGCCTGGGCAAATTGGCAAGACCACGTCTCTACAATAAATCAAAATTTAGCCAGGCGCAGTAGCTCACGCCTGTAGTTCCAGCTACTTGGAAGGCTGAGGTGGAAGGATTGCCAGAGCCCAGCAGGTCAACGCTGGGGTGGACCATGCACTCCAGGCTGGGCAATGAAGTGAGACTTGAGAGACAGACAGAGAGAGAGAGAGAGAGAGAGAGGGATTGGCAGCAGTGGGATACTGCCGGGATTGGGTGGGGTAGGGTGGGGGGGAACACAACATCAATAAGGGTACCTGATCTCAAACCAGGCAAAGTGGGGACGAAAGGGAGGCCCAAACTTTACCTGTACAATGTTCACTTTTATATCTAATCCCTACACATCTTTAGAATAAAATATGGTTTTTTTTTTAAAGCAATTGAGGAAGGAACCCTCTGGAGGAGGACAGCAGGAGTCTGTGAAATGCATTCTATCAATCTAATTAAGGGCAAAATAAATTAAGGGCTAAATATGGAGAAGTAGTATTATGAAATACCAAGAAATGTTTGGGCAAATACTGGTACATAAGTTAAAAGAAACCCCCTCCCTTGTGATCCTTAATAATAAGAACATCTCGCCTTGAACGACAGAAGCCAAGCTTTTACAAGTTTGTTGCACATCATTAAAGCTACATGGTTGAAAAATTAGGGAATTGTGCCATTTACATTGAACTACTTTTAAAAATAAAATAAAAAGAGACAGTCACAAAAAACAGTGTCTCTACAACAGAATAAAGAGTGTTTCATATGATAGGAGAATAAGCGAAAGTACTAGGCTTCTAAAACCTGGTGGATTTTGCCAATTATTGTGGTGAATTACAGCTTTCACCAAATGTAAATGTAGAAGAGTTCAGAAAGTAGAAAGTATCTTCTTTTCTGCTAGAGCCTTCTCTCTCTTCATTGCAGCTAGAGTTCCATTTCTTTACTCATAAAACATGTTTTACTTAGCAGCTTCCTGTTCCTAATCTTAAAATACACACTGACTTTCCAATTGTGGGACTGATATCACACCAAAGTGTTCTGAAAGCAGCACTAAAGCTAAGATCTAAAATCTGATGTACAGTGTAAGAATATGATTATGTAAAACACATCCAAAAGAAATGCAAAAGTACTATAAAAAAAAAAAAGCAGACATACTTAAGCTATTACTCTTACACTTAATTGGACTAAACTTCATTTGGCCTAACTCACCTTCTTTACAAATATGGTCAGGAAAAAACAGACAGCAAATAAGAAAAGAAAGCCTTAGGCAATTACATTGAAACCTAAAAATACTATTAAAAATTTCTAGTGACATGAGGCAATCTACAAGTAGAGCCAAATGTTCTTAAGTGTTTCAAATAATAATTGTATAGCACTGTCATTAAAAATACAAAGACCTACAAAGTTTCTCATCATATCCAATATGAAATATTTAGTATCAAAATGTAACAGGAGCTATACATAGATATATGTATTCCATGTACACAAATGTACAGTGTTTCAAGATTTTTTGAATGCCACAGTAGATATTTAAATTCTGATATACAGTATAAAAATGATTATGCAAAACACTTCCAAAATGCAAATATATATGATGCACATCTGTGCAAGGTTTTTCACACTCTTATCTAAGACTTGACTGATAGCAAGTATTTCTGATAAGTCTTGACTTTAGGGGAAAACTGAAGCAACTAAGCACTAACTGCTGAGCATATCTCAAGGGTTTTATTTTATCACCATTAATGTTTTCTTTACCCAGTGGTACTTAACACACTGAGAAACTACCCCCAAACAACCACACACTGAATAAAAGTGGCAGTCTCCATCATTCTCTAATCCTAACTTCATTTTTTTTTTAACATACATCATGACATTCCCAGCACCACTTTTTTCCTTGGAAGTCTAGAAAATTTGAAAACTGCCCACCTGAATTTCAAATCCAAATGTTCCATTATCCTGCTTTTCCACAGTAACTATCTTTCTGCAATTAAAAAAAAAATTAACTGCATGAAAAGTATCACATTTTACACATATTTATCATAAAAAATAACTCACAATTAAAAATAATGGACATTTATGTGCATTATAGTATATATGACTCTGTGTGAGATGTGTGTGTAATCAACAGTCTGGAGAACTATGTGTTCCTAAATATCTTGATGAGAGACCAAAAAATAATTCAATCTTTTTTACCTTTGCGACCAGGAAAAGTCACTTAAAGAACTCGATCTGGTTAAAGCAAGCTGGAAAATACAAAAAGCATACAATTATCTCAGGGTCCTTCAAATACATCTGTAAAATGTTCTAAATCACTAAGGACTTTGTTCTTTATCAACTCCCTTGGCCCAGCACCTGAGAAACTTACATATAGGCAGTAATTTTCATTCTCTGGTGATTGCAAAGGAAAGCAGGAATAGGGGACTTTCAGGCATTCCATTTAAAAGGCTTTTTAAAGAGGGCTCAGATAGCAATACACTGTAGCAAAAGAGCTAATATTATGTGGCAAAACTCCAACTTCCAAAAAGAAACTCCAATTTCCAAAAGAAATACAGATTTCTGATCTGTATGTAAAAGTCTCTGAAATATTAACCATAACAATTCCATAACAATTTATAATCACACTGAAATCCAGACAAAAATAACACCCATAGAATGGCATATAAAACCCAAATACTTGGTTGTGTTTGGAGATGCTGATGAAATGACTGCGTTTACTATGTTACTGTTTTTAGCAGGATAAAATAATCTCTAAAGAACCAACTCATATACAAACGCACACTTCAGGTGAAAACTGGAACTGAAAACCTCAATTCTGCTTATGATTTATTTTTGCAAGAGTTTTGGAATAGTGTGGTGCAATTGTCAGCCAAGAAAGGAAAAGAACCTCAGAAAGATAAAAATGTTATAAATAATATCACCTTCACTTCTTTGCAAATAGTTGAAAAGATCATACAAACAAGCTTTCAGGATACATTCTACCATTGCAAATAGAGGAAAAGTCAACCAAAAGTAACTTTTTTTTAGAGAATTACAGGACTTTTATGTGTTTTTGTTTTGTTAATTTGTTTAAGACATGTTAATTAGCCCTATTTTCAAGTATTGGTCCAAGGGCCCAAAATGTAGGCTTATGCTACTAGCCAACCCATGTGTTTAATTGTCAATCTAGAATTGTTGTCATAAATAAGTAAACAATAAAGTATCAGGAGATCAATGCATACTCAGTTTAGACAAATAAAAATAAAACAAGAGGATGAAAACCAGGAGAAAAACACATAGAGGATATTAATACATATGTGGCAAGTCCCACAAATGAAATGCTTACTAAGGCATTCATTAGGAAAGACACCTACACTACTGCAGAGAATTTGAATTTCTAAGTACCAAATGCCAGCATTTTCACAATTTATCTGGAATGGCTCAAAGTTAAGAACTGGGCCACCTCTCGGTGAGGTTAGTGTAGTGGAGAGTTGATTTCTTCCCATCAATTTAATGTAACTTAATTATATTTTCCTCTTTTGTCAGTTCTAGATTTCAACTCATCTACATCACCTTGAAGACTGAAATAGATGACTCAGACCCAGAAAAGATTCTCTAGACTTGCTTAGAATGATCACTTTTTAATGTATAAGGACCAAATGTGGAATGCCTACAATTTATTAATATAAGGCTTGATACAGACTGATCTTGTACCTCATAGGTAGCACTAACAAGAATGGGGACCATTAAAGTATGTTAAGTGGGCTGTCTTCTTGCAGAAGAGAGCGATACACTTGCTATTTCCAAACATTCTCAATTTCTCCCTTACAGTGTACTCATATTTTCTATTTATCATCTTCATCTGCTGGTCTTCCACCCTTAATTCAGATTATAAGGTACTTAGGAAGTCATGTCTAATCATTAGTAGGGCTTATATTTTTAAAGAATTAGACTTGCTATGAGAATTCATCATATAATTCATAGAACTATATAAATACATATATGTATATATTTATATGAAGTGCATTCTGGATCAAATAACCTCATTTCTATACACAATCATCTGTGTGCTTTGGGTCTCTTGGGGAATGTATTTGTTTTACTTTCTACCCCAATGCCCAGCACAGAACCTGTAATAGAATGGAAAGCTAAAAATAGAGAAATAGACAAACAGAAATAAACTACTAAACAGCAATAAAAAGCAAGTGAGTGGTGGTAATTGATCCAAGTTAAAGTATTCAAGTTCAAGAGGAATATGTTACAATTTTCTTCACTTTGCCCTTCATTAAATTAAATACTCATAGAAAAAACTCATGTATCAATAAAAATATATGATAAAAATTAAAAATTCCAAATATGTAACAAGATTTTAAAATAAAAGGAGCATAACCTCTTCAGGTCTCCTCCCACTGTGGGAGTTTTTCAGTCCTCTCAATAAATCCTGCCTTCTCACCTTGAAAAAAAATATGTAAATAAAATGAAAGAAAACAGACAACTCAATATCCATACTCAAAAGAGCAAAACCAGACTCTATTCAAAATGAATCAAAGATCTTAATGTAGAGACCAAAAATGATAAAACTGCTAAAAGAAAGCATAGAGGAAATGCTTCAGGACATTGGTCTGGGAAAAAATACTTGTGAATAAGACTTCAAAAGCAAAAGCAACAAAAGCAAAAATAAGCAAATGAGAATATATCAAAAAGCGTCTTCACAGAAAAAGAAACAATCAACAGAGTGAAAAGACAGCCTACCGAATGTGAAAAAATATTTTCAAACTACTCATCTGACAGGAGATTTATACCCAAAATATATAAAGAACTGAAGCATCTCAACAACAAAGAAAAAAGAAAAATCCAGCAAATGACTTGAACAGACATTTCTCAAAAGAAAACATATAAATGGCCAACAAGTATATGAAATAATTCTCAATATCACTAATCATCAGGAAATGCAAATTAAAACCACAATGAAGTATCATTTCACCCCAGTTAGGATGGCTATTATCAAAAAGACAAAAAATAACAAATGCTGGCAAGGATGAGAAAAGGAAACTCAGACGCTGTTGGTGGAAATGCAAAGTAGTACAGCCACTATGGAGAACAATATGGAGGTCCATTAAAAAACTACAAATAGAACTACCATATGATCCAGAAATCTCCCTACTGGGAATTTATCCAAAGGAGAGGAAATCATTATATCACAGGGACATCTGCACCCCTATGTTTACTGCAGCACTATTCACAATAGGCAAAATAAGCCATCAACCTTGGTGTCCAACAGATGAATGGAAAAAGAAAATATTCTATAAAGAAGATGCTCACAATGGAATACTATTCAGTCATAAAAAAGAATGAAATCTTGCAATTCACAGCAACATGAATTGAATTGGAGGACATTATGTTAAGTGAGATAAGCTAGGAATAGTTAAACACTTCATGTTCTCACTCATATGTGGAAGCTAAAAAAAGAAAAGTTGAAATCATAGAAGTAAAAAGTAGAACAGAGGACGCTAGAGGCTGGGAAGTGTAGGGGAAGGGAGGAATAGGGAGAGACTTGTTAAAAGATACAAAATTGCAGCTAGATAAAAAGAATGAATTCTAGTGTTCTACCATTGTAAGGTGACTATAGTTGATAATAATGTATTTTATACCTTCAAATAGCTAGAAGGAGGATATTGGACGTTCCCAGCATGAGGAAATGATGAATGCTTGAGATGATGGATCAGCTATTTACCCTAATCTGATCGCTATACATTATATATATTAAAATATCACTATGCACCCCATGAATATGTACAATTATATGTCAAATGAATAAATAATTTTTTAAGACAGGATTATTAAATGAGAGAAAACAGACAAGAATGAGAAATCTCAATCCAAAACCATCAAGAAGTGTAGAAAAATGACTAATATAAAACAAAGGCAGTAGTACCTTAACAAATAACTGCTAAATGGTAGCAAGAGTTAATAAATTATCATTAAAATTTTGAGTCCAGCTGTGGTGGCTCACACCTGTAATCCCAACACTTAGGGAGGCCAAGACGAGCAGATTGATTGAGCCCAGGAGAGTGAGACCAGCCTGGGCAACATAGCAGAACCTCATCTCTACAAAAAAATTAACCCAGAATGGTGGCACAAACCTGTAGTCCCAGCCACTCAGGTTGCTAAAATGGAAGGATCGCCTGAGCCCAGGTGGTTGAGGTTGCTGTGAGTCGTGATCATGCCACTGACCTCCAGCCTGGGCGACAGAGTAAGACCCCTCCTCAAACAAAACAAAAAAAATTTTGAGACTTGGCACTTTTAAATTCCCTTTTACTAGGTAAAAAAAATCATAGCAGAGATCAGGACCCTCAAAATCTCTGTTAAACCTGTCTGCTAAGTGAAAACTCATTCTGGAGAGATTTAAACTTAAAATGTTTTAGAACCACAAGAAAGACCTGGAAACTTTGTAGAGAAAAACATTCCCCACCTCTCTCCTTCTAACACTTCTGTCTAGCTAATTGACTAGCTTAGGATGAAAATATTTACCTAGCACATGAGAAGCATAGCAGATGTTCAATTCCTGTGGACTGACTGATTTGGGTTATCAGTGACACACACACAAAATCAGATTAAGTCAAATTATAAATTAGTTTCTGTTCTATATTAGCAAAGAGACTGTTTAGGCACCTAACATTATAAATTAGTTTCCATCCTATATTAGCAATGAGGCTGTTTAGGCACCTAACATTTAACGAAAAAAAAGTTAAATAAATTAGGCATCATCAAATTCTCTGACACATGTCACTTGACACAAAGCCTGCTTGTTTTTCATCTGGGCTGTCAGACTCAGGCAATGTGGAAAGGAAAGTTCTCAGAGTTCAACCTATTTCCAAGACCAAACTCCCTGACTAAGCGAAATGAAGGGTGTCTAAGGTCTTATCAAGGATTTTACACTTTAGAAAAGCTTTCCCTGCACCACTTTCCCTAGGGTGCAGCCCTATTCAAGGATCTGACCAGTGGAGTGTATGTTCCCAAAACGACCCTCGCTCCAGAGTCTCTTCTCAGGATTGTAGTGATGGCACCAAAAATCATGAATAAGGCTAGGTTTGGTGACTCAGCCCGTAATCTCAGCACTTTGGGAGGCCGGGGCAAGTGGATTGCCTGAGCCTGTGAGTTCGAGATCAGTCCGGGCACCTTGGCAAGTCCTCGCCTCTACAATAAAAAATCAAAAAATTAGCCGGGTGTGGTAGCACACGTCTGTAGTTCCAGCTACTTGGAAAGCTGAGACAGAAGGATCCCGGAGCCCAGCAGGTCGATGCTGTGGTGGCTGTAAGCATGCCACTGCACTCTAGCCTGGGCAATAGAGTGAGACTCCAACTCACAAAAAAAAAAAAAAAAAAATCATGAATAAGAAACTGGTGTGCAATTCACAGCATATGCTGGCAACAGCTGTCTTTTATTACACATTATCTAATATGAGAAATCTAGGTTTAGCAATTTGGCAGGCTTGCAAACTATGCATTCAATTATGACTGCTGAGCAGACAAAGCTCCTTAACTGCTTGCTAACCACAATATATTGATACCTGGGGTTGGGCGTACAACAGCTCTTCTGCTTTTAGTCGGGTTACTTAACAGATCAAGCATGAACATTCAAAATGTAATCTCTTATGCTCTGTAGTAATTCCACGTGTCCCTCTTTAGTGGGAAACCAAGACCAAATGTTTCAGCTGTCAGTTTGCAAAAACAGGAGGGATCTGCTGGATAGCCAGGCACCTTCAGAGAAGCTCAAGGTTCAACACTGTACCCACATCTGCTGCTAAGTTACACACTTGTTACTTCCTGGTCCTCCCTGTTCCGTGTAGTCATTTCCTGAAAGTGTTGGGGGATGTTGGGAGGGGAGAACTGGGGAGACTGGGAGAAAGGGAGGGTACTATTTCATGAGTGAGGTTTTTGTTTTTGCTGTTTGTTTCAAATTGTGTGCTGTGCTCCCTTTACAGTCCCCTGCCTCACTCTCCAATTCTTCCATGCATACAGCACGCCTCCACCTTTTAAATAAGGAGTATTAGAAAACCAAGGCTCTGCAGACTGTTCTAAGGGACAACAAAATAAGGGAGCTGGACTCAATTTCCTAACTTGTAAGTGCACCTAAGGAGCCTAAATAGAATGCTACCAAATTTCAAGTAAGATGTGGATTGTGGGCTCATGCACCTCTTTTTCAAAAAAAGTTGTTGGATATTGACTTCAAGTATGCCACAATATGAATTAAAGAATACTTTTCAAATTATTTTATAGTGAAAGTAACACAGTTTTCTCCCTAAAGTCATCATGAGATGATTAAAAGACTTTAGTGCAGTTAGGAATACTTGGGAGTGATGGCACCTTCAGGGTGCACTGCTGGAAATACCGTGAAAGCTCCAGCAGGCAGAGCCAATCCCAGCAATGGAAACATCATGGAAGGTGGCACAAGTTCCCCATCTGAACTTGTGAGTGAAATAATCCTTCCAGAAGTTGCCTATTTAGTAATAATGTGATAACTAAAAGAAAATTAGGCAAAGATAGTCAGTTTGAGGTATTACGAACAGTTTGTGGACTTGTTCGTCAGTTCCCTGGTTCTCGCTATAGCATTCTGAAAAAACCGCTTTCCAAAAGCACCACACCACCCTCGTGAGAGCGGGTGACAAGACACAATCACTACTCCTTTGGCATCATTTATAAAGACTGTCCTTTTTTGCTCTTGTCTCCTTCCTACAGAGATTTTCATCACAGAGGTGTTTTTTTCCCCCCTAAAAGTATGCTCTAAAGTAGAAGCTATACTGGGGTGTCTGACACGTTCTACAAATACAGGTATCAAGATAATATGTACACAGAGAAATCTATTTTTAAATAATTCTGAGTGTAAACACCCAAATTGGTTCTGAAATTAATTTGAAACTACAAACTAACTAGATACAGCTTTGAAGAAACCAAAGCCAACAATAACAAGAAGTATGAATTGTTGACGTCAACCCTGAAAGCGTTGAAAATAACAGTAGGCTGAAAACACCTGCTCGTGTGAGCGCCTCACAGGGATCTTGTTGCCTGCACTTTAGTCAGTGCCAGAAGGATGATTATTCTCTAAAAACCAGTTAAAGGAAATGAACATCCTTTGGAAGATTCTAAAATGTTGAGATAAATTTGCACTGAGTCTCACTGATGAAAATTTTATAGAATCAGAAGTATCAGGTAAAACAAGTTTTGTTTTGCTTTTTTTTTAAAAAAAAGCAATTCTCACAACAGTAAGAAAAAAACTGTTTGAATAGGCCGAGTCTACCATGGGAAAGAACTCTTCTCTGTTCCCGTTTCCTCTTTCTCCAGCTACTGCAAAAGTTCCTCTCTCACCATTAGTCTCTACTGTCTTACCCAAACCACTATGCTTCTAGAATAAGGTTCTTAAAATTCTCTACTGTTCAAATACATTCAGAGATTCTCTCCTTATCAAATTACTGCTTTTTCAGGGGAAGTGGTCTAGGTGTTGCGTAAAGCAGCCCAGCTCCGAGGTCTACTCTCACCTCCTACACACTCATTGGGTTCTTCTGACACACTTCATATTGTGCTGTTACATAAACATGGCCCTAAGGGACCAGGATCTGTGCCCATAGCATTAATTATTCCCTTGCTCTGGAATACCCTTCAATATCTGGCATATCTATCCATCAAGGTTGTATTTGTAGACGTTTCACTTGGATGAGAATATTCTTGTTGTTTTACTTTGCATAACACCTATTTGTTCTGCCTACTGAATTGTAAACCCTGTATGAGCAGGAAATATGCTTTTTTTCATCTATGTATCTCCAGCACTTCGCATGGTATCTGTTCCTTTGCAGGCGCTCTCAAACTGTTGCATTGAAATGTGTGGGCTACCCCACATCTTCAAAAAAAGAAAGAAAGAAAGAAAAAGAAATGTGTGGGCTGAAGAATAGATAAAACAAATGAGGTTGCAGGTATGAAGGATACAAAGGATGGAAAGTTCCCACCCTGATTTGAAAAGAACCAATTATCTCTAGCAGTAAGTAACCTACCAAAAGAATGAAATCATAGCCTAACCAAGTGAACCATAGTTAGTGTGATAGCCTCAAGGCAATTAAAAAAAACTGTTCCATTTCTGAAAACTGAATAAAGGTGTTGGTATCTCTCATGTTGCTTTATTTTCAGACAGGCTGTAGATTGATAGAAACGTCCTTTGTATCATAAAATGACTTTGTGTTGAGAAAGAGCAATAATCCAAATCATGGTAAATTGGGGCCTTATATTAATTGTGAAAAATACCAAGAAATCAACTATGTACATCACTGAGGAGAGATCATGGCTCTCCCACTATACTATACCTCTTTAATCCTGAAATTAGAAGGCTTAAGAGAAGCACATGATTTACATGCAAGACTTAAGCACAAAAATTGATGCTCTACAGCAATGCTAGATATTTTCTATACAAGTGTTATAACTAAATTCAAATATGTACTTGGGGCTTTATAGTAAGTAATGTAAAAACCTAAAGATGTGTTATGGTTAATTTTAATTTTTTTTTTTTTTACATATTAGCAATCAAAGAACAAAACTTTCAAATAAGTTAAGTTAGACATGGATTCTTCCAAATGAGTTTTCATCCTTAAAGAAATACTTTGTAATAAACATTTTTAAGTAGCATAACCTAGCCTTTAATAAGTATATACTGTATGTCGGTCACTGTGTTAGGCACTACACATTTCCTTACTTAAGCAGCATAAGTGCCTAATGAGAGTGATTCTATTATTTATCTCCATTTTAGAAGAAAGAAAACTAAAGCTTAGAGAGGCAATGACTTGTTCAAGAACCCACAGCTACTAAGTGGTGAGTCAATATTCAATCTGGCACTCATTTGTCCAAAAAAAGTCTTGCTTCCCAATAATATGAGGTATGTGCCAGTGCCCTACAGCTATAGGCAATCAACTTAGTCAACAGAATTTGTCCTCAAAAAAAAAGTATTTCTCATCTGATTACAAAATGAAATGACTATCCAGTGGGAGTGAGGATAGTAGAGAAAGACTCAATAGAGACATAGAGGGCAAAAGATCAATCATGTCATGCAGGTTGTATCTATATAAATAATCTTCAAGCTGTTATGCTTAAAGATTTTCATTTTATCTGAGCACCTCTTTAGATGAAAAGAACAATCTTAACTTTTACTTGAAAAAAAAAAGAAGTTTGATTGTAGTCTCAAATCTTTGAACTAGTTTACTAGCTCTCTGGGCATCTCACCTCCTTCTTTACCCATACTGTCAGTCACTAATTCCACAGCCTCTAAAATAGCAATTTTAGTATGAATTCAGACAAACATCTCTGCTCTCAGGAAAACACAAACACTCTAAAAGCTATAAAATAGCAATCATACCTGCTTTCGTCCCCGAGGCAAGGTAGCCACAGTATCTGCCAGCATTTGAATCCTTCTATTATCATCCATGGTAGGGCTGCCTGTGAGTGTGGAGTAAAAGCTATATGCGGACCCAGTGCAGTAGTCCACCAAATTGCCATTGCTGCTCTGTTGCATGAGCCTTTGTAAAGACATTACGAATAAAGATTACTCCAGCTAGTACATGGTTGAGTGGCCTTGCAGGAGGGAGGAAGCTAAAAGTACAAACCTCTGACAAGTAATCAAAAGTAGCAAAGCAGAAAGAACCCACGTGACTTCTGTGGTTTGAGGTACTTGTTACACAAACCCTATCTTGCAGTTCACTCCCATTTCTCAATACTTTTTTCTTTAAGCTCCTAGAAGAACCTCCAGCTAATTTTTACAATTAAAAAAACAACTTATTTTTTCTCAAACTCTCAGAACTCTTATGCTTTCATGTTCCATGGCAAGTTGTGTTCAAAACACCATCTGCCATTAAAAAAAAGAAGAAGAAGAAGAGGAAGAAGAAAGAAAAACTTCCTGAAGTTCTGCCATTTGTTTCCCATCCATTCTCATACTTAACATTAGCAGTGCAATGCAAAAGTCAGGATATGAGGACATTCAGTTCTTGTGAACATAAGCAAGAATTACAGGTGCTGGTCATAATGTTCTCTCACAAAGTCCTTGTAATGTACTTTCCCTGAAGTATACCCTAGCTCATTAATGTTCATCAAAAAGACATTATAGCTGCCACTTGGGATGTAACCATTTAGTATTTTTTGAGTTGTCCTTCTACTACTTTGTCCTTACTAAAATTACCCATCATCTTTACAAGGTGTAATGGGAAGGAAAAGCCAACACATTTAGGGCACAATGCTGGCCATATCTTAGAATGGTCTTTGCTGCAGCATCAACAAGTGGTCTCTGGGGAGAAACGGAGTGGGCAGGAAGGTAACAGGCAAATTAAGGTAGCACAAAAATGCTGCTAGTTTGTCTTTGCATGTGCATATGGGTCAAGGACACCATCACAGAGTGCTCAAGTTACAGATTTTTTTTTTCTTTTTGGCAGAAGTTGGGCACAGGTAGTTTTGAGAAAACTGGTTTCAGGGGAGGAGTAAGAGAGGCAAGTAAAAGAAGAATCGAAACAAAAGTCAAAAAGAGAAGTTTTATATGGCACAGAAAGTAAAATGTGGTTTTTTAAATCTTTGAAGGTCAATACTAGAATTTAAAAGAGTTAGAAAATCTTTAAACTAAATTGGAATGTGTATGCACTAAAGTCAAGGTGAACTCAGCTCAAGCAGAACTTGCCAAATGTAAATAGGAAAGAATGAATTAACAGTGCTTCAAAAGTTAGAGCCAATTTAGAAGTTTTAAAAATCCTAACACAGCATGACTTATTATACTAGAATTGGAATATGACACAGGCATGTTAATATCTCCAAAAACATATAATGACCTAAATCAGGGATTACAAACACATGTGTTTTCAGGGGCCAGGTGGGTAACATAAATGTATGAGACAGAGGGAATGGTAAATGTTTTGGCAACTAAATAATACAACAATTATAAAGACAGTCATGTGAAATCAACATTTATATATATATATATATATATATATATATATATATATATATATATATATATACATACATACACACACACACACACGTGTATATTATATATATTGGAAAGGAAGGAAGGAAGGAAGGAAGGAAAGAAGGAAGGAAGGAAGGAAGGAAGGAAGAAAAGGGATTGATTTTTAAAATATTTCCAGGCTATGAGGCATGTTAACTTAAAAATTAACACTATTAAGGAGGACAGCAATCCTTTGTCCCCTAGGAATTTGATAGTTAGGTAAATGTTTTTTGCTTTTGTTCTGTTTTCTGAGTTGAAGTCTCACTCTGTCACCCAGGCCAGAGTGCGGTGGCATGTTCACAGCCACCCCAGTATAGACCTGCTGGGCTCTGGTGATCCCTCCGCCTTAGTCTTCCAAGTAGCTGAAACTACAGGCGCGCACTACCATGCCTGGTTAATTTTTTTGATTCATTGTAGAGATGAGGTCTTGCCAAATTGCCCAGGCAGTTCCCTCATCTTGGCCTCCCAAAGTGCTGGGATTACAGGCTTGAGCCACCCTGTCCGGCCAGGTAAATGTTTTTAACATTTTAAAATATCAGATGGAAACTATACATAGCCAAATATAAAGTCACATAAGCCAGCTGACATACCCACTTTTATAAAATAGTACTAAAATTGTATCAATTCATTGTTATACTGATCTCAGTCTGACGTAAATTATTGAAATCTATCACTAAATTAAGAAATTAGAAAACATTATTTATTATTTAATTTGTGAAATGTGTTTAACAAGTAGAATCTTTCAAATCATGGGATCCACGGGTATAAAATCAGAGTCAAAGGCAGGTCTGACATCCTGCCAACCTATATATCATTATGGTCACACCTATTACTTAAATATTCATGATCTGATCTATTTGTATTAGTAAGTTCCCTGTTCTGATTGTCAGGACCTATGTCCTACAAGTTATTAAATATTTGTAGCAACTTCCTGATCAAAACTGTTCTTTATGATAAAATGTGGGAAAACTGCTGTAATCTTTTAATGAAAATGTGACTTCAAACATCAAACTTTTGACTTGCAATGGTGATCTACTGTTTATAACTTCTCTTTTTTTAGGATATACCTTAGGACAATTATGATAGACTGGACTCTGTTTTACTTCAGTCTATGCTTTATTTTAGAGGGATAATTCTGAAAATGAATCAGATCAAGCTATCTACATACTCAAAACTATTTCAGGAATACCTCACTGTCTACAATATGAAATAAAATAAAAAAGAATTCCACGTTCTTATCTGATTTCATTCTCTGAAATGTCATATTATTTTTTTTTCAGATCTTTCTTTTGAGAGTTAAAATATTATACTTAGATTATAGCTAATTGTATACAAGTCTATTTCTCTGCTAATGTCTCTAATTTGCTTGGGAGCAAGTGTCATCTCTTATGTTTAAGTTTAGAATGCCCCACATATATAAATTGTTCAATAAATATTTAATAAAAATAAAAGAGTAGAAGCAGTAGATAATGAACAGAATGAATTAAACACCTTTCTGAAGCATCAATAGAAAAAAAACAAACTGGCAGGAAATGTGTGTACTATGAGCTCATACTCCAAAGTGTTACACTTTTCCCAAGAGGTGATCTGAGAGATAAGGCCATAATCTTTTTTAAAAAACATGTCTGCCATGTGTTCTAAAAACTAATATTTCATTATGGTGGAGGGTGAGACTTCTCTTATTTTGGGCATTTTGTTCATAAACATGCAAATGCCCTTGGAAATAATTGACCTTTGGTATAAATGAAGTGAACCCTGAGGAGCTAGAAAATGGAGAAAATTTGGTAGAGGTAAGTGAGAGGAATATGCCTGGAGTATGGAAACTAGAAAGAAAGATAGGAAGTTCTGCAAGATAAACTGGGCCAATCCTATTATCATTAATGTGAATCTTAGGCAGCTGTTAAGAGGGTTGACTACAGGATAACTTCCAGTGACAAGCTACTTGGATTCAAATTCTAGCTCTACCGCTTAAAAGTTTATGCACTGAATTGTGTCCCATAAAATTCACACATTGGAGCCCTGACTCTAATGTGAATGTAATTGGAACTAGGACCTATGAGGAGATGAATTAATAAAGCAATTAAGGTTAAATGAATTCATAAGAGTAGGCCCTCATCTGATAGGATTAATGTCCTTATAAGAGGAGACAGCAGAGAGCTCCTTATCCACCATATGAGTACACAGCAGGAAGACAGCAATCTGCAAGCCAGGAAGAGAGCTCTCACCAGGAACTGAATCTGCCAGCACCTTGATATAGGACTTCTCAGCCCCTGGGACTGTGAGAAAATAAATATCTGTTGTTTAAAATCACTCAGTTCACGGGATATGTTTTGCTATGGTATTTATTATGGTGGCCTGAACTGTCTAATACACTCTCTAAACTTCAGTTTTCACATATCTAAAACAAAACAAAACAAAATTTTAAAGAGGAATACATAGACTAGCCCATGCATAGCACATGTTATAACTACTGAATGTTGTTTTAAGTAATATAAGTTCAAAAGAAAACGTCCAAAGGAAATGACTTTACTTCTATATAAACTGCCCTACCCATTACCTAATGTTCATACATGCAGCAAGGATGTCCTAACCCACCCCAGAAATGTCTAAAGGCTGGAATATATGTGAAGTCCCTTGCTATAGAATATGAAGATGTGTTTTCAAAGTATTATGAGAGATAATGTCTAGAGTTTCTGGATTACTGTTAGCCCAACTAATCTATTCATTAGAGTAAACTTTGGAGAGGAGTTAGTGGTTTTGTTAAAAATGAGATTTCTCCTATGTACTTCTGATTTTAAGATAATTGTTGAATTTTTTGTTTTGTTTTGCTTTTGCTGTTTGCCCTTATTTCCACTAAAATATTTTATTTGGTTTGCTGGACTAGCATAGAATTTGTTTAGTTTTGCTTATTTATTTTATTTTGTCCTTTGGCCTTTATTTATACAGAAAGCTTTTATTTGGCTCCCTGGATTGATGTAGGAAATGAGTTAGTCACATAGACAATATTAGAATATCATGTGCCTGAATTTATACAAGGCAAATTTAATTTAGTAGGATTACTCTCACATATGAGGGCCCACTAACTGTGAAAAATGATTTGTCCAGCTTGTCAGCTTGCATGATTGATATGGGTAGATAAATGGCCCACCTTCCCCAAACACGCAGTGTAGGTCATTTGGATTATGAACACCGTTTACCAAAAAAGAGTACCCTTCTTCAGCAAAGCATAAACTAAAACTCTACAATCAGGACTGGTTCAGAAAAGCAACCAGTTCGGGAAAGGGAAATAACAGAAACAAAGGTCATGAAGGCCCTATGTTAGAAATCCTAGTGTGGGTGCAAACCAACCATTGGCTTAGAGTTGTGACATACATATTTAAAATAGCACAACAAAAATCTTCAAACCTAATATACATAATGGATAACAATAGATCATATCAATTATATTTTTAATACAAGTCCAAGGAAACAATTTTCTGACCTATTCAACTTCAATTCAATCAAACCATGAAGTTATAGGTAAATGAAAACAACATCCAAAGGATTAGCCACTAAATTCATTTTGGTCTTTAAATAAATTATCTAGATCAGTTTTTCATGAGACAAGTCAGTAGGATAATTTCAAGCATTCTTTTAAATGTAAAAATAGATGTCTTTACACATTCA